AGGAATGGGTATTGATTAAGCATTACTCATTATGTCCAGAAAGAGAAATAAACAACACAGCACTGGATATGTGGGTGACAGCAACTGAAAAACATGACTATAGAAAGATGAACAGCAAAATAATGCCAGAAACTCATAATCTAAGTGCTGTGGAGTCGGTTCTGACTCACACTGACCCTAACAGGGTTTCCGAGGAGCGACTGGTGGGTTTGAACCACAGACTTTATGCTTAGCAGTCTAGTGCTGATCCTACAAGCAGCATACCAGGACTCCATATTGATAATAGAAAGTCTAAACAGGAGTCAAAAGGGCAAAATGTGTGTCCAGCACTATCCTAAATATATTACCAATGCCATTTCCTTCTCATCATAACTCCATGTATGTATTATCATACTCACTTGACAGATGTGAGAAATGAACCTCAGAGAAGGGAACTTGCTCAAGGTCTGACAATAACATGTGTTATTAAGTGAGTGTCCAAAAGTTAATAGAAATTTTTAATTGTCTTTTAATTCTATTATTCCATAAAATTTTTGAAACACCCTTGAGTATATGTTTTTTGGCCAACCTTGCCTGCAACCTCTAGGTATTTTTGTAGTATGCTATGCTAATCAATTTTTTTACACACATTGTTGTAAAAAAGTTGGAACACTGCACTTACGTCATGGGAGAAGGGCACTGGTTGGCAAGGAAACTTAGAACACACACATAATTTGCATAAAAGTATGGTCGTTATTTGGCAAAACTTGAATCTGAACCTAAATTCATTTGACTTGAAAGTCTAAGTCCATGGTCCTTCTGTTAACTCATGCTGCCAGTCTAAGAACATTGGTAAAGAATTTCTGGTAGAGGAGTGGCGATTTGAACCATATGCATTCATGGGAAGGGAGAAATGCCTAAAGAAATAAAGGATTCAAAAAAGAAAGGGCTGGCAACAGGGAAAAAAACCAACTTTACAATCTGACATCAATGAAGAAGAAAAGGTGACAAAGCAGTCTAAACTCAGAGCAGGGAACTTCTTGTCTATTTCACATAGTTCTGATGAAACGTATCTTAACTACTAAGGAGTTCAGAGCGCTTCATTAGCAAAAAGGCAATGACAAAGTACAATACTGCAAAGAACATTAAGAGTCAAAGATTTCAACACGTAAAAAGTTGGCTGAATAAAGGCAATCAGGCTTGGAGTTATGTGCTGTTAAGTGTCATTGAGTTGATTCTGACTCATAGCAACACTGTATAGGGTTTCTGAGGCTTTAAATCTTGGGAAAGCCAAAAGTCTCATCTTTCTACCACACAGCAGGTTGGTGAGCTCAAACCACTAACCTTGTGGCTCACAGTCTAGTGTTTATCCTATGGAGCCACTAAGCTCCCCCACGTTAGCAGTTTTCAAGTATTAGAAAGAAGTCTTGCTTCCCAACAAGGGTATTAAAGTCTAAGAAATATAAGCAACACAGCTAGATTTACTAGAATTATAATGGATAAAGGTAAGTAAAGGTTAGAATTGAATCATCGAAGATACTTTTTTGGAGTCAAAATCAGAAAGCTATGAAATAGTATTTTTATGTTCTCGGATCATTTCAAGAGAGCTTTAGAATGTAAGCTCTTTGAGGGTAACAGTCTTGATGATCTTTTTTGCCTAGGATGGCACTGTAGGATCAGCACTGGACTGCTAATGCAAGGTCGGTGGGGTTCAAACCCACCACTTGCTCCTTGGAAACCTACACAGACAGGGTCACGCTGAGTCAGAACTGACTCGACGGCACTTAACAACAAGCAGCTTAACACACATCAGGAACGTGTATGAAATGCTAGGTATTACAGAAGCTTGAATTCAACCGCCTAAACACGTGAACACTCCTATACAGAACCATGTAAACCAGTTACCAAATCGAAGACAAGGCCACTAGTGTGAGTCTTTTTTTTTCATTTCCTGGATTCATACAAACCATGTAAGTCACTTTATCAGAAACAGTAGCTAAAAAAATTACAACTGAGGCTGCCTAGTTTGCCAGAAATTGTATCAGAGAGTACAAATGCCAAAACAAATATACTGGAGCTTTTTGGAAAGAACTAATAGTTGCAAGTGACACACTTATGGACGAGATCATCTACATCCCTCCTACCCGAGCAGCAGAGAGCAGGAACAGTAATCCCACTCTGGCCCTAGCACCTTAAAAAGATACTAGAAAGGACATTCGTGTATAAGACAGTGACAGCTAATCTCAAATACTGCTATCAAGAACAGAAAGAAAACAGATGCTGATCATTCAGAGAGAAATACTGTCTTTATTTTAAAGGCAGCACTGAAAATATTAATTAAAGCAGCATTTCTACAAGCCATAAATCACTACGTATAAAAATGTCATCTGCAAGGAGATGCAGATATAGCCCAATACCTGATGTGAAACGAACAGTGCTGTTTCATAAGACAGTTGAACAAAAGAAAAGTTATTTGTAAACTTCAGTATTTCCTTACTGGAATATTTTGGTTCAAGCAACAGATACATCTTTAAAGTCTTTCATGAGATTCAACTGCCTCCACTGGATAACCACTAGCAAGAAAAGAGAATCCATTAGTCCCTGAGTTTCTACTTCCAAGAAGACCTCTGTTTATACTAGTTCAAGCTATCAAACTGTGCAAAATGCAAGTGCATAAAGTAAGTGTTGCGAGAGAAGAAATAAAGCTAAATAAATAAAGCATTTGGGGAGTGGAAATCAAATTTGAATGATGCCCGCAAGCAATCCAGAACTTACCTGCTTGGCATTTGATGAGTGAAATTGTGCAGAGACTGGACGCTACAAAAGACAGAAAAATGGGATAAAGCCTTCTCTTCTTCTAACATACCTGTATCATCCCTGACACCTCTATGATATCAAAAAGGGTGGAGAGGGGACTGATTTCTAAGTAGAGACCAAAAGCAAGCGCTTTTGTATACTTTGCAGCTAGAAGGTTACAAGTGTTTATTATTTTTCACACAGCTTTCTCCTGTGACATATCAAGTCCAGTTTCACTAAGAGTACCAACTTTTTACTGGTGCTGAAGATCCTGAAGTTAACTACTCCACCTAAAAATTTTGCTTCACACAATGTACAGTAGACCCACTGTACATTTCTTTCACCTTTAAATAAGTGTTCTGTGGACTGCTTATGGATGATGTCACACCATTACCTACCAGTTAGCAAAACAAATGGTGAATACATTCCCCACAACTTGCAAAAAGAGGCCAATAAAAACTGACAGGCAAGCTAAGAAAAGGGATCGATTCATCCAAGATTGACATCAGCTACCCCTGGAGTCAAACTTGGCAAACCCTGTGTTAATGCTGTACAGACATACAACCCTTCACACAAGCGGCTGGAAAACTGCTCTTGTCACAGACACTGCAGGACACAATCTGCAAAGGAATGGGATTGCTTGTGTCAACTTTGCCTCGCAGACCTAGGTTCATCTGCTACTTTTTCTTATTACACGTTTATGAGAGTTCTCCTTGTGATGATGCACTAATCAAGTACATAATTGTTGCCTGGTTTTCCTTTGAAGCCAACAGAGAGTATACCCTGTTTCACATCACATCACATCACATCTCTAATTATGGAATCATTCTAGAGCAACGGGTCACAGACAGGCGGTACAAAGACTGAATCCAGTTCAAAGACACATTATGTTTGGCCTGAAACATGGAGGGGGGGAAAAAAAGAAGAACTTGTTGCCAGTATTTAAACACCAGATTTCTGATTTCTCTCGACAAGAGAAATATCTGGCAACATTTGGTCCACACTCATTAATGACAACAGTCGAGTAACACACATTATTAAAAGTGGCCTTTCCTGGGAGGTAGGCCCTTTCCAGTTTACCTGAAATCACTCTTAACTGTAATGCACCTGGTCCTACTTACTCACTGACATCACCTACCAGCGGTCCCCATAGTTACGTGGCTGTGCCAACGCTGTTCTCATGAAAAGTTACCTGAAATACTAATGGTCACAGGCTTCTCACACAGAAACAGCACTGCCCTAAACAAAGGAGCGAGCAAAAGGAAGACAAGGAGAGATAGGAGGGGAAAGGGCAAAAGGAGTAGGAAGGAAGGAAGAGGAGAGGGAAGGGGAGAAGGAGAGACTGGTTTTCCCTTCCAAGAGCTGAAAATCTAGCAGATGTGTAGCAGACAATTCTGAAGCAACATATCAAGGAATATAAAACAGCACAGTATAGAAGAAATAAAATGTGTTAAAATGAAAAGTAAAGGGCAAGACAGAGTAGGATGGATTTAATAAGAAAGATCTTCACTCCAGATTGGAAGAGAGGCGGTGCATCTTTGAGAGAAGAAATCTTTAGGGTCAAAAAGAACCGGATTTGGAAAACCGCAGGGTACAGACAAGCCGAGCAGTGAATGATTGGATGAATGAACGCGTAGCGAGAATGATCAGCTGATTGACTTAATGAGACCAAAAATGCAGGTCCACAGAGACTGAAGCCATGCTTGACCGACTGAAGCTACAGACACATGCAAGTTTCTTTAGACATTTCTCTCATGTAAATAGCAATCAATCTCATGGTCACTGAGGGTCCCTTTGAAGAGAATCTCTTGAAGAGAAGACACTACTTGAAGTGACCATCTTCTGAAGCTAGTTTGAAAATCAAAGAGTGTAGAAGATGGATGCCCAGGAACCAGGAGGCTCCTTCTCTGTGCCCTGCATACGGGTTCATTGATCTGAGGAGAATAAAGGTAAAGGATCGTGGTGCAAAAGAAAGAAAGGAAAAAGGAAATATGATGAAGAAAGGCCAGAGAAAAGACAAAAACCAAAGGGAGAGAGTACATTCGTTTGGAAGCACTGAGAGCACAAATTATTATTGATCATAGCTGGAGAGAACTGCCTCCCGTCTACACGGATCCCGGAAGTCTCCTGTTCCCAGCGACCTCACAGCCTCGGCTGGCTCATTTATACCAGCTGCCAATTTCCAGTAAGCCTCCTTTGGGCTCCCTGCTGTTGGATACGCTTACCTGCGGTTTCTGGAAAGGGTTCCTCCTGGAAGTCTCAAAGGTGGGATAAATTGGCCGGGTCGAGGCCCGCTGGGCAGGATCTTGGCACACGAATCCTGGATGTAGAACAGGCAACATTAAAACCTGCCATTTTCTAAGAAACTAGCAGGTCTTGCTGCACCTTTCATTAGGTGTACAAACTCAGCATCAGTGTCCTAAATGTTTCAGACATCTAGTAGTCTCAGGAGGCTCACATCTCCCACTTCTATGTGAACCACCCTAACTATTGATAACAATCAGCCCCATTGCTTGGTAGCTGAAATGCGATTCGGACTGAAAAAGAGATCTAGGTTGTTCATAAGCTTCAGAGTAAAGGTACAAACCAGCATTTTACAACACACAACTGTTACTGCTGACAGTGGTCAAAAGGCAACTTTCAAAGTAGGCTTTCTGGATTATTCATGGTTTAAGAAATGGGACTTGTGCTCAGTTCAGTTACTTCCTAAAAACATAGACTCACATGTAAGGGAGACTAGGGTAGCTATGTTTTACAGCATTTGCTGGCATACCAAGTACTAGTTCTTCTCAAACATATTTTACTATTTCTTTTGTGTGTACTTTAAAAGAAAAACAAAACAAAACCACAACATACCCACCTGACTGCTCATCTCCATTTCAAAGTTTTGGTTTATCTACTCAAGAAGGGATTTCTTCCTTGGGCTGCTCCAGTTATTACTACTATAGAAGGGATCATGTTGAGACCAGCAGAGACTGTCTAGCAGACATGTAGCCAGTCTCCTTTACAACAAGGCTTCACTATCCCTGCTTGGAGAAAAATGTACTTTTCTCCAGATCTTTGCTTAATTCTCTTTCTCAGCTCATAATTCCTGTGCCTCAGGTCTCAGCCTTAGTTGTGGTTCAGCCTCAGGACAGGATGGAGCCAGGAGAGTAGAAACATATAAATACTTCCCTGAAAATATAATGTCTTAGTACAAAACATTCAGCAAGGCTCAGAAGCTGCCAGTTGGCAACCCCTATAGAGCCAGATAAAACTAACGTTCCAGTTACTCACCTACAACAGTGAACATATCTGAAATCATACTGGCTTTAACCTTTAGGTCCAGAGGTGCATCACTAACAGAAGAGAATAAGAAAGCAATTAATAGTGTTGTAGGTTAATACAACAGCTGACCCCTCTTGGGCCCCATTATACTAAAGTTTCCAAATGTGCATGAGGAGCAACACATAATGTCTATCAAATCCATGGATAAAGGAAAAAAAGCAAAGCACAAACACCCAGGCGAGTATACTAGGAAGAAAAGCCCAGTGCTCAATGTGTCCTCTAGGAGGGCATGAAGGCATCTGTTTCCTAACATCATCATCTTCAGGGAAGTCTTCTGCAATGTGAATTTTGTACATGTCAAAATAAAGCTTCATTACCACTCTAGATTTCAGAGGTGCAGACTTTTAGTGATCTTTGATGAGTGTGCCTATCATTCAGATTATGTTTTACTGCTGCAGTACTGTGGTTGTCAGGCGCCTTCGAGTCGGCTCCAACTCCTAGCGACCCTATGCGCAAGAGAACGAAACACTGCCGGGTGTGGTGCCATCCTCATAGTTGTTACTGACACTTGAGCCTAGCGCTGCTGCAATGCTATTGTTGTTGTTAAGGGCTGTCGAGTCGGTTCCGACCTATAGCAACCCTGTATAGGGTGTTTCCAAGGAGCAACTTGGTGAGTTTGAACCCCTGACCCTGTGGTTCAGACCAACTATGCAGTCCAGTGCATTAGTTGCATTTGCAGTCCACAGCACCACACCAGGGCAATAATTGACTCAAACTCGCATGCAAAAGAAAAACTTTGGCCACCTCTCCTTTTGTGGGGTTGTAGGATCAGCACTAGACTGCTAACCACAAAGTTGGTGGTCCAAACCCACCAGCTGCTTCTTGGAAATCCTATACAGGGTCGCTATGAGTCAGAACAGACTTGGCGGCACTAAACAACTTTTTAAAAAAAAAAATGTTTTATTGTGAATTATGTGATAGTTTACATGGGACAACATTAGCTTTACATTCATCCTATCATATATCATTTCACTGTCAAGGTTACAATCCCCTCCATGTATCATCAACCAACCAAAGGGTATACCCTGCAAGCCTGCCCCGTGGTCGTTAGCACACAGCCCCTCTCCCTCTCTGGGTCTAAAGTCCCTAGCTGCTCCATCTCTCTATGTCATCATCTCTGCCTCCATCTCTGGCATCACTGTTTCACTAGGTAGGGTCCTGCTCACTGCTCTTCTCCCTTGATGGTCCCAGGGACCTCTACTCCTAGACTTCAAAGTCAATCACTCCCCTCCTTTTGCTACAAAACGTCTACCTTTACATTTCCAAACCTCACAACCAGTCCTGTTAACAATTATTCACTGTTGTATCACAAGAGACCTATCCATATCTACTTTCATCGGCCCCGCTTAGACAGATTGGCTACTACTCAGTGGAGATTCTACCTTTCTCCTCGCCCTCTGGATCTAGGTTCCCTCTTGAAAGCTTGTAAGCCAGTCACTTCTTGCCTTTGTAGCGCTCCCCCCCAAACCCCCATTTTGGGTAGCCAATGTCCAAGATGTAAATCCCTGTCTACTCTGTGTATGGAGGAGGTGGGAATGATCCTCGCTACAACAACTTTTAAGACTTCACTTTCTGTTCTACTTCAATCTTTCCAGGCTTGCAAACGAGGACAAAAAAATAAATAAATAACAAACAGCACTGAAACAGCACTGGATGATGCCATGGGAATCCCCATGGAGACAAAAACGACAGGGACAGAAAGCAAAAGGCCTTCCTCTGGTAGTGAGTGGGAGCGTTGTTTGTATGTTGAGGTGGTTCCTCAAAGAACCAGCCTACTGTAATCTATGCAGTATCACGGGGATCTCTAACATCGTACAGAAAAAACCCTGTGAATGCCAGAATTTCTGTAGGACAGAAACCTTTCTGAGAAGAACACCCCCGATAGTTCCCTTTAAAATGAGCTAGAGAAAAGTGGTCATATTGTCCCCTGTCACAGGTGGAAAACTTGCAAGATCCAGACAAACAAGGCAGTCCTGGCAAGATCCGGCTCTCCCAGGTTTCATTATAGAATGTATCTTACTGGACAATCTGTGAAAGGATGCCGTGATGAAAGTGAAAGGAGATGTCTGAAGCACCTGCAATACCTTGCTTCACCTTCCGACCAAGGTATGTAAAGCAAACACCCACCCTGCAAAGCAGTCCATCTGGCTTGATTTGATTCCTTGGCATTTTGCCAATATCTCTCATCATTGAAAACTGAGCAGTTGGGTGGTCTTTGGCATAAATCTAAGCTTCTCTGTTTAGAAGAGTGTATCGCTAATAGAAATCCTGGCCATGCTGAAAATACAAGCAGAAGCAGAATCTTTTCTCTGTTATTAAAAAAAATCGATTCCATTCATTCTTCTCAATTATAGGTTGCTTAAAAAAACTTCGGAAAAATACTGCTTGAAGTTTATACTTTACTTTTGGATGAATACCATGACATGGGATATAACAAAAGGATCTAACAGTGTCTGTGCCACCCCAGGCAGGCCCAGCTCTTCCATACCTTCACAGCATATGTGGATTTGGTTTTACATCAATGTTTGATAATATAGGGAAATATAATACCGATATATTTCGTTAGCCTCAGCAAAGGCTTACAAAGTCTACAAAAATAAAATCTGGAATAAAAATAAATGAAAAACTCATCCCTTAGAAGCCCAGTAGACAGTAAGCAAAGATCAGAATTGATGAAATGGTTACAATTTAGGCTTTGATAACATACCATAAAGCTACCCCCACCCCTCCTCATCCAAATTTAGAAATTCCAGTCATCTCTAGCTATTAACTAGGAAAAATACCTCCTAGTACAAGAGACATGATGCCCCCACCCTAACCCCATCACAGTTTAGTGTCACTCTTTGAAAGTGTGTCCTCTCCTAGTTGATGAAACTGACTTACCAGGCCAAAGAAGGCGAGAGATTCACTTCCAGTAGCCATGGCTTCAGAGTAGAATCTATGAGCACGTCAAATCCATAAAGTTCTGCAAACAACACAATGTAACATACAAGTTCATCTCCCAAACTAAGAAAGATCTAGCAGGCTTAATCTAATCAACTCCTATCAAAGGCCTAGAAACTTGCTGAGGATAGGTAGTAAGGCTAAGAAGAAAACAATGCTGTCGAACTCCACTCTTTGCAGCAGTCACTCAATATTGATATATTCCTGATTCTTCAGAGTAGACAAGTTCACTCCAGAAGAGCTAACAGGCATGATTCTTCTGTGCTTGTTGTTAAGTGCCGTCGAGTCGGTTCCGACCCATAGCGACCCTGTACAGGGTTTCCAAGGCTGTAAATCTTTACGGGAGTAGAAAGCCTCATCTTTCTCCCGCGGAGCGGCTGGTAGTTTCGAACTGCTGACCTTAAGGTTCGCAGCCCGATTCATAACCACTACGCTACCAGAGCTCCTTAGGGGTTAAAAAAATTGTTGGAAAAGGAATGAAGTTAGTGCATTCAAGTTCAATGCTGCTTTGGGCTTACTCTGGATTACCTTTCCACTTCCCTTCGTCGCCCCCCAAACACTCTCTGAAAACAGAAAACCAGAAGGCATCTTGCTAGGATCCCTCCATCACAAAAATTTCCCACACCAAGATCTTGCTTTTGCAACCGAGGTCAAAAAGACATCTAAGTGTGAGATATATTTATTCTCTTTCCTCTCCCATGGTTTCGATTTCCCTTTGAGGAGAGAAAATGAAATAGCTTGGTTCAACAGACAGAAGAGAAAGGAGGGAGACAGTGGCAGCAGAGCAGGACTGTGACAAGACATCTTACACAATTAGCATGACAAGAGAGGAGAGGGAGCCAGAGACCAGGTTTCCATGGCTTCTGATGTCCCCCTTCTAGCTTCCATCAGCTGCATAGACCAGAACAAGGGCCACAAGCAGCCTTTCTCCCAGGATGCTTGGTGTTATTGAATAAATTCAGGGATGCGAGGTTAATTTCAGAGCCTGTCTGCGGACATAGAGTTCTGGTGTGGCACAGCAGGATAATACAATAGACCACAAAGTCGGTCTGAACTGAAGGGTCAGCGGGTTCAAACTCAGCAGCCACTCCTTGGAAACCTTATACAGAGTCGCTATGAGTCGGAACCAACTTAATGGCACTTAACAACAACTGTGGACACACATCACTTGTAGTATAATGAGAACCTCTCCACAGAAATTACAGTTGCTCAAAAGTCCTTCTAACCACATATGTATCAGACTCTCGGAAGTTACACACACACACTCCCAAACATTCCACTCGTGTGTCTTTTTTTTTTTTTTTTTAACTTTTTCTCTAAGAGGGGAGAAGACTCACTGCCCTACAGGTTGACCACAGGCTACATGCCAGAGCCCACACCCCCCATCACACAACCAAGTATTTTCCAGAAGCTCATTCTGAGACAAATGTCCTTGCTTTAGAAGGATTCCCCCCCCCCCCATTTCTCCATTCTCTTAAACATATAGTAAAATAAATGTAGAGTTCTAAAACCTGGCCCCAAAGACTCACTTCTAGACCACAGGAAGTCTGATGTTATATGATGCAGTATCAAGTATCCTAGAACCAGAGTCTAGAGACCCGGTTCCTTCTCCTAACCCTATTCACTGTGGGCCCTTGGGGGGGGGGAGGAATCACTGACCTCTGAGGCTTCCTTAGCATCCTTTGATTTTTCATTTACCAACCTCTCTATTAGTCACTGTCTGTCAATATCTGGGTGCTCAGTACACTAAGTCTAGAATGGATTACAGTAGGCAAACACATTCTAATTTCCTCCAGGGAAAAGTTTCCATGAAAGAACTGGCTTCCCAGATTCTGTTTAAATTTTTTTTTTTAATTTTAAACTATAAAAGTGTTTTGGTGGGCCTCCCCTTCATGTAGCTATATAAAAATTGCAAATCATCTACCTACCCTTTAAAATGTAATGAAAAGAATGTGCTCTCATGGATCTTCTTCTAAAAGCCTAGTACATTCTTCTGAATCTTCAACAATCCCACAGAATATACAACCCGAACCCAGAGAAAAATCTTTTGGGATACAGCACCAAATAAGACATTTAAAAGGAAAAACCTAGTTGCAAAGTCTGTATTATTATACAAAAAGAGGATACAAAGCGAATCTGGTTCAAGAAAAATAACACTGTCGTCAGAGTTTTTACAAGGTAAAGCACAGGGTTCAAATGTTTCATAAGGTGGTAAAATGTTATTAATCATAGCAGCATGAGGAACAGGGTGGGGATAAGAAAGCACATGGTGAGCAGGTTTCCAGCTCTCTCACAGATGAAGACACATTTCGATAACAATGAAACGTGCTATTTAAACATGAGCAGTCATTACATCAACGTAATTGCCCAAATCAGAGGCAAACTGAAGAATCTCAGTTGACAGGCTGAGAACCAATACTTGGGGGTGGTGGGGTGAGGGGGGGGCAGGGGAAAATAGTGATCCAAAGAGAGAAAACACCCTTGCCAGGCCCAATTTAATTTTCACTTCAGTGCTAATACAATCTGTCAGTGCTAAACAAGCTCTGTAGAGTACGCCCAAATTACCAACCTAAGGTTCAAATCTAACTCGGTTTGTACATGTGCCAGGGATTGGGTCCACTACCACTTAGAGGAGTGGGAGAAGAAAGATACTTGTGTGCATAGTATCATTACAGCAACTGCAAAACCAATCCATTTAAGAGGCTGGAGTAAAGAAACAGGGTGAAATGACCAGCTTAAGAAAAGCAATTTGGGTCCTTGGCAGGTTACTTCATTGTTGTTAAGTGCCACCAAGTTGGTTCCAACCCATAGTGATGTGTAGAGGGTTTCTAAGGGAATGGTGAGCTTGAACCATTGACCTTGCAGTTCAAACTGACTTTGCAGTCCAGCACATTAACCCACAGCACCACACCAGGACTCCCTGTCAGGTTACTAGGATCCTCATAATGATCCTCTACAGTTATGTGCTCGTGGGAACCTGTAGGTAGAGCACTAGGTAGTGGTTTGAACAGAACAAGGGGGCATTGCCTGGTTTAAGATCAGGAAAGGTATGTGTTGGGGGTTACCTTTCCACCATGCTTATTCAATCTGCAAGTTAAGGAAATTATTCAAGAAGCTGGACTATATGAAATACGCTGCATCAAGACTAAAAGACGACTTAATAACAGCCTGCAATATGCAGATGACACAACACTGCTTAGAGGACTTGATACACTTACTGATGAAGATCAAAGACTATGGCCTTCAATATGGAAAACTAAAATCCAGTATGGAAAACAAAAATCCTCGCAACTGGACCAATAAGCAACATCATGAACAAAAGGAGAAAAGATTAAAGTTGTCAGTGATTTCATTTTTCCTTGGATCCACAATCCATGTTCACAGAAGCAGCAGTTAAGAAATAAAACAACATAATGCATTTGACAAACCTAGTGCCAAAGACCTCTTTAAAGGGTTAAAGAGAGAGACAAAATCACCTTAAGGACCAACATGTCCCTAACTTAAGTCATGGTATTTTCAACTGCCTTATATGCATCTAAAGAAGAATCAATGCCTTTAAACTATATTAAATACGCCATGGACTTCTGGAAGAACAAACACATTTGTCTTGGAAGAAGCCTGAATGCCCCTTAGAAGCAAGTGTGGCAAGCCTTCATCTCATGTACTTTGGACATGTGATCAAAAAGAACAAGTCCCTGGAGATGGACATTATTCTTGGTAAAGAAGAGGGTCAGCAACAAAGACAATACCTGCACATTCTGCCCCCCTGCTTCTCTCTCGCTGTTCCTCGGTGTTGTGTTTATAATGACAGAAAAGCAAGTATAACTGAAGGGCTACTGCTACCACCTTATAGGACAACATTTTTCCAAGACCATTTTCCTTGTTAAGATATATTCTTTCCTTCAGCCCCCAGCCAAACCACAACAAATGTGGAAATAATACTAGTGAGTGATAACTCCACCTCTCACTTTACAGTAGCAATATTGTCTCCCTATTTCTTTAATGCAGCTCCTTTAGAAACAATCTACATTTAATGCTTAATTTTCTTAATGTCTGTACATCTCTGTTCCCACTCTATTGCTCTAAAGAAGCTCACTGAAAAGTCCAAACATCTGAAACTTTCATCACCCTTGGGCTCCAGGGCACTGCTCTCTTCTGCCTCTTTCCTCTCTTTTCATTCCAGCTCTCCTGTCCAGCTAGTCAATGGCAGGTTTCCTCAGGTGGCATCCTCGAGTCTCTTTCCTTCTCAACTACTACTTCTCTTCTTAGATAATCTCATGTATTCTCAGGACTGCAATTAACACCATGAAGATGACATTCACATCTGTATCTTTAGTCAAGTGCTTCCTGAACCGCAAAACCGTACTTCCAATCACCTTCTAGATAGCTTCACTTCCCGAAACCTGTTGGGCTTTCACTTATTCTTCTTGAAAGATGGTGCCCCATCCACCAGTCTCCAAAGCTAGAAACTCTTTACCACCTCCCAAATCTAACTCATCATCACCAAAGTACATGAGATGAAGGCTTGCCACGCTTGCTTCTAAGGGGCATTCAGGCTTCTTCCAAGACAAATGTGTTTGTTCATAACTCTTTACCACCTCCCAAATCTAACTCATCATCAGAGTTCTTTTTCTCTTGTCTTTTGTCTACTCCCTTTGAGGTATAATTTTTATATTTTGTTGGTAAGTGCCGTCGAATCAGTTGTGACTCATAACAGCTCTATATAGGGTTTCTGAGGAGCAGCTGGTGAGTTTGAATGTTAACCTTAAGGCTCAAACAACCTGTGGTCCAGTGCTTATCCTATAGCACCATTCCAGGACTCCAATATATGTATAGTGAAATGGAATGATCTTATGTGTACAATTTGATGAACACAACTGCGTAACCCATGCAATCTACACTTATACCAAGATGTGTCAGATGTCCGTCAACCCAGAAAGATCCTAGTAAATATCACTCCAGCTTTTACCTCCAGACAACCACGACTCTTATTTCTTTTACCATATATTAGTCTTGCCTATT